TATATCCACCTACTATCTCGGCCACAGCAACACACACACACATACATATCAACAATCATCCTTATATATTAATATGATATATTATATATATATTATATATATATATATTACATAATATTATTAATATGACACCACACATACTTATTAATATATTATTAATAATATATATATAAAATATATATATTATATATATATATATATATATATATATTAACTTAACTTATAAATATTAGTATTATAATATTAATTGATTGTATATAGTATATATATTGTGTGTGTGTGTGTGTGAATGATATATATACTAATAAATATAATACTTAATATATATATACCTATATCAATATTATAGTATATATATATAGTATAATATTATATATATATGACAATATATATTTATTATTATAAAATACATTCACATTATATCAATGAATATATATACATATATTATATATAATATTACATATATAATATATATATATATATATATATATAGTATTATATATATATTGTATTGATGTAGTATATATATGTATATAGTATGGGTTATGTATATATATATATATGTGTGTTGTGTGTGTGTGTGTGTGTTTGGTGTTGTTTGTGTGTGATGTGTTGTTTGTGTGATGGTGTTGTGTTGTGTTGGTGTTTGTGTTGTGTGTTTTATGATGGAAGTGTAGCTAATATTGTTGTGTATGTGTTTTGTATGTGTGTGGTGTGGTGTTGATATAAGTGATGTGTGTGTATATATATACGTCTATACTCTTATACATAATTACATTATTTAATGTATTAACACTGTCACAAGAAAGAAATGGATGATGTGTGCGTGTGAGTCGATGTGGTGTTCGGATGTGTGTTGATATGTATGATGTATGTGTGTGTGTGTGTATGTGTGTGTTGTGTATGTTGTGGTGTGTGATTTGTTTAGTGATATTATTATATCATTTATCTAGTCTTCATTAAAAGTATATAAAATCACTCACTCTCGCTATGTAAATATATAATAAAATACTGTATGTTTCACAGAGATATACTGAGTTATTTATATTATATGTGATGTAATTGTATGTGTGTATGTACTAATAGACCAGAGTTTATATTATATATCTAACACTATATATGCTACGGAGATATATATATATATATAATTGATAAGAATTATAGATATTAATATTATAATATAAATATTATAAAACTATTAAAACATCAATGACATAATTCGTCAAATATCAAATGAATCTCCAATGGCGCTCTGCTAACTCCTCATTTTCTTTACAGCCAAATAACAACCATTTATTATACGAAAAATTATGCTCTGTTCATGTAAGAATATCTACTTGAACACAAAGCTTGACTGTGATTGGTGATTGTGACTGTAAATGCCAAATAACAGCCATTATTATAAAATTGCCAAATGCCAAATAACAGCCATTATTATAAAATGCCATTATTATAAAAACAAATAACAGCCATTATTATAAATGCCAAATAACAGAAATACCAAATAACAGCCATTATTATAACAAGCTAAACAACAACCATTATTACAACAAGCCAAATAACAACCATTTATTATACGGAAAGTAATACTACTGTTCATGTAAGAATAACATCTGATATACAACGCTTGGCTGTGGCTGGTGGATGTGAGCCGGTCAATGGTCGAGCGAGGAGAAAGCAGTAACGGTAATGATAATATTGTCTCTAAAGGAAGCAGAGAACAGTAATAGTAATAAAGATATTTTCACTTCAGTAAGCGGAGAGCAATGATAGTAATGATATTGTCAATTCAAGAAGCGTGGAGCAGTAATACTAATATGGATATTGTCACTAGGAAGCGTTGAGAAATAATAGTAATTGTGATATAGTCACTTTGGTTAGTAGAGTCAGTAATAGTAATAATGCTGTCACTTTAGTAAGCATAGAACAATGATAGTAATACCGATATTGTCACGCCAGTAAGCGAAAAACTAATTGTAATAATGATATTATAGATGCCTTTACTTTTTTTTTTTTTTTTTTTTTTTTTTTGTAGTATTCTTTACTTCGTTAATTAGGGAAATGGTTTCGTATCAAACTGTATACTCTTATGTGAACCAATTTAAAACACACACACACACACACACACACACAAACACACACACACACACACACACACACACACACACACACACACACACACACATATATATATATATATATATATATATATATATATATATATATAATATAATTAATAAAATCTACGTCACCTTCCAGAGTTGCTTTGAAAAATGAGCAGCTTCATTTCTAGGATTTAGCCTAAACTAGTTTAGATAAACTGCATCACGGCTCTGTGTCGAACTGGAAGTGCATTACCTTCTTAACGTACTCAATTATATTACTAAGGCGAAAGAGCTGAGGCTTTATCATCTAAAATACTTTTCGTAAACATGGGACTCAAATGGTTGACCAAAAATCAGACGGTTCAGGTATTTATGCCTTTATTATATGAAAATAAATATGTTCGTATCACAGACCACATCCTCCGTTACCAATCGGAGAACATCTTTCACTGATTATCTTGGACAGCTCGATTTAAAAAGGGAGATGGTTATTGAAGAATGAGGGAGGCTTGCACACGTGTTCTCCCAAACACCTGTCGAAGCAACACTTATCGAGGCCAGCACACTTGTAGTCGTTGGAACAGGTTGTGGGGGGCCCATGGAAACGTGGGCATGTGGGACGGACTTGTGGGCAGTCGAGTGGCTTGGTGCCAACAGGTGTCTCTGGTTCGTGCACCGTCTCGCAGCAGTAGGCTTGACCCTCCGGAGTCTTGCACCAATACCTGCACTCGCTTGGGCCGTTGGAGATTCCAGCGCCGATAATACCACTACCACCATGGAATCCGCCATGTTCATGGATTCCCCACCATGGATTCCTCCACCCGCCGCCGAGGAGACCGCCTCCGTGGACGCCACCGAAGCCTCCAGGAAGGAATCTGTTGGATCCTCGTCCACCTCCCCTTCGGTCTACACCGGCGGAGACGGCCACCAGGAGGCAGCACACAATCACGGCTTTGATGCTCTGCAAGAGGAGATAAGGGAATTAATATCATGGTATTAGCTTATTGTTGTTAAGTAAAAAATATGAGTTTTATAATCAACCAAGTTCACGACAGAATGAACAAATGTCTTTTAAAACGGTCGAACATCTTGCAACGAGCACTCACATTCATTGTTGGTTAGAGGTTAGCTGTTTAATGTGGAGAGTGGAAGACGCAACGTCGCTTATATACAGGAACTGGCGGCCGCCTCCCTCCCCCTCCCTCCCCAACCCCTCCGCCTCGCCAGACGGGATATCCCAAGCCAGCGGCGTGAATTTCCATGTGTTTGGTTTTCCAGTTCGCTTGTTGCGCTTTGAATTCCTCTTCCCCCTTTTCATTGATGACGAAGATCAGACAGTGATAACATATAGTTAGAGAAAATAAGTCAAATCAAATAACCAAGAAAATTCAGTGTTTCATTAGAAAATACGTGTCTGCAGAATTGTTATCAGGGTGAAGCTTCGATGATCAGCCACATAAAGCTGGCATTTGAAAGAAAAAGACTGATTATCAGCATTTAACTATACGGCTGCTAAAATCGCCACAGTTTTACCAAAACTCCTAACTCGATCACGGGGGAGGAGGGGGAGGAAAAAGAGGGCGTGGAAGCTGGAAGGAAGGACGGAGGAAGGAGAGTGCAAGCAGGATGGAAGAAGGAAGGAGGGGGTAGGGAAGAAGTGGGGTTCAAGCAGGATGGAAGGAGAAAGGAAGAAGGGGAAGGGTACAAGAATAGGAGGGAGGGAGGGGTTGAGGAAGGGAAGGGAACACAAATAGAATGGAAGGAGGCGGGAATAAGGGAGGAAGGGAGGGAGGGAAGAGAGCACAAACAGAATCGAAGGAAAAGGGGAACAAGGGTGGGGAGAAGGGTGTAAGAAAGATGGAGATGTCAGGGATAGAGGGAGGGAGAGGGAGAAAGGGAATAAGACAAGGCGCAATATATAGACAGGATGGAGGAAGAGAGGAAGGCGGCAGGGAGGGAGGCAGGGAGGGGGACGGGTGAGAGGAAGGGTTGCTAGGTATTTTCCAAACTCGATGACGTCACAGTAACCAGTTTCTCTATCACTATGAAGCTCTGTGTCTGGCTTAGCATGTGTTGCTGCTGCAGATTCGTTTCCATATAAATTATTTACTTAGAGATTCAGGATTTCAGGCTTGTACTTTCCGAAGTAAAATACGAATGTTGTGATAAAATATCTCTGAGTAAGTTTAAGAGAATTGAATTCGCATGGCATAAGTGGTTTGATGCTCCTATTTCCTTATTCAAAATAAATGTAATCGAGCTCTACGCGTTATTGAAATGAATGACTTAGAAAATAATACGACAGATTCCTGGAGATGGCAACACTTTACGCCAAGACCTGTTCTTTGTTCTGTGACGTCATTGGCCACACACTTGATGACGTCACTGTGACGACGGTCTCTCTCTCTCTCTCTTGTTCATTTACCTCGCCCTATGTTGCTGTAGCTTCGTAACTCCTATTTTTGTTGTCTGAATATCTGCAGTGGTGATATATATGTATATATATTATAATATATATATATATATATTATATATATATATATATATATATATATATATATTATTCATAAAAACATGCTCACACTCACAGGTATTCACATACAGAAACATTGTGATTGTGGCCATCATATATTTACAAAAAAGTGTCAAATCACAGATCACATCCTCCGCGATAAATGAAACCCTGATCGTTTACTCTGGAAACGAGCTCTGACGCGGAATTATTGAAAAGGATTTATTTGTGTTCTGAGCATGTGTTTTTTCCCCTTTTACTGTTGTTCGATTTGATTACTATAGCCTAGACGGCGAGAAATGCAAATGTTTGTTTGAAGTCAATGTTTATCTATGTTTACTTTTATTATAATCTAGATGCAGGGATTAAAAGATGCAAGGAAATATAAGTATATAACGATTTATTATCAAAATATAAATATCTACAAATCACAGATTTCTCATCTTCCGTTATCAACCGGAAAACCGATGGCTCCTTATTTACGATAACCACCTTTAGAAGGGGAGATGGTTATTGAAGAATGAGGGAGGCTTGCACACGTGTTCTCCCAAACACCTGTCGAAGCAACACTTATCGAGGCCAGCACACTTGTAGTCGTTGGAACAGGTTGTGGGGGGCCCATGGAAACGTGGGCATGTGGGACGGACTTGTGGGCAGTCGAGTGGCTTGGTGCCAACAGGTGTCTCTGGTTCGTGCACCGTCTCGCAGCAGTAGGCTTGACCCTCCGGAGTCTTGCACCAATACCTGCACTCGCTTGGGCCGTTGGAGATTCCAGCGCCGATAATACCACTACCACCATGGAATCCGCCATGAATTCCACCACCATGGATTCCTCCACCATGAATTCCGCCGCCGAGGAGACCGCCTCCGTGGACGCCACCGAAGCCTCCAGGAAGGAATCTGTTGGATCCTCGTCCACCTCCCCTTCGGTCTACACCGGCGGAGACGGCCACCAGGAGGCAGCACACAATCACGGCTTTGATGCTCTGCAAGAAGAGATAAGGGAATTATCCATTATGGTCTTTATTGGTTTGTCTTCGTTAAATAAAATGATTGATTTATAATCAACCTAGTTCACAATAAAATATGAATGTTAAATGTCCTTAAACACGGTTGAACTAATACTATAGTGCATCTTGCAACAATCACTCACATTCATTGTTGGTTGGAGGTTGGCTGTTTAATGTGGAGAGTGGAAGACGCAACGTCGCTTATATACAGGAACTGGCGGCCGCCTCCCCTCCCCCCTCCGCCTCGCCAGACGGGATATCCCGAGCCAGCGGCACTTCCAGGTATCTTGGTTGGTTTTCCAGTTCTGTTTTTGCGGATTTCATTCATATTTCCTTATTTTCATTGATGACTAAGATAAAATAAATAAATAATAAATAAATGAATAAAAAAATGATAAAAAAAACAGGCTAATCAGCGTATCGTTAAATATTACGGATCTGTAGAATTTATTGCCATTAAAATGAAGCTTTGATGGCCAGCTATATAAGACTGGCATTTGGTGAAGAAAAGCCGATTGTCAGCATTTACTTGTACTAAAATCGCTATCATTTAATCACGAGAAAGAACCTTGTAACAATTATCATCACTTCTTTTATTCGTGTCTCCTCTACATCAGTTTCAGGGGATAGAGAAAGTGATAACCTTTTTTATTTGCGCAGTTTCAACTCGGTCTTGATTCGAAATAGATAATAGAAAGACTACATGCCGATGGAAAGCTAGATACATCGAAAAAAAAAAAAAAAAAAAAACGGAAGCAAAATTCTTGACGTTGGCAACACTCCACGCGCTGGTACTTGTACTTTCCTCTGTGACGTCATCAGCTCATCAGCTGTGTGCTCGGTGACGTTGGCTTCCAGATCGCTGTTTATCTACTCTCTTTCTCTTGTCTCTCTATCCTTCTTCTCTCTTCCTCTCTCCTCTCTTCTCTCCTCCTCTCTCTTTCTTCTCCTCTTTTTTAATCTCTGCTGATCTCCCTTTTTTGGATGTCTGGATATATAATTAGCAAATGAGTTATTGATAAATTAAAACAAAGGAAAGACGAAGAGAGAAAAGGAATGCTAAGGAAGATAAAACTTGCAGAAATAAGCAATCTCGAATGAGTGAAATTCATTAACTTTTTGTACATAAATTTATGTCGCCGTAAGTATTATCACTCTGATTAGTAATCAGTACCGTGTTATTTCATCATTCGACAGGTGTTTAGAAGAACATTTATACAAGCTTCCTTCACATTCCAATAGTTATTTTCTATTTCAAAGACTCACACTCGAATGTGGAGTGTATGTCTCGTAAATACTACTTTCTTTTCCTCTTAAATCAATACTCATACGACAGCTAATTATTCCTTTATTAAAAGAGTGAAAACTTAAGTTGAATCCCAAGGTAAATAGACAAGAGACAGGTTACAAGGTCAATTAAAATCCCACTGGAAATTCTCTGGGACGTCTGATTCTTACGTGAAGAGAAGCGAGGGAGGGAGAAGGTGCAAGGGGATAAAGGGGAGGAGGAAGAAGGGTGTGGTTGTTAGCAGGAAGGAAAGGCCGGAAGGAGGGGGATGCAAAGGGATGGAAGGAGGAAAGGGACAAAGGGGATAGGGTCCAAGCAGGACGAAAGAGTAAAGGGGAAGGGAGGAAAGGAGCGTGTGAGTGTAAGCAGGAAGGAAGGACATGTGCAAACAGAATGAACGGAGATATTAAGGGAGGACGAGGAGACAAAGTAGGATGGAAGGTTCGGGATGGAGGAAAGGAGAGGGAGAGAGGGAATAAGGGGAGGGCAGGTTGCAGGCAGGATGGATGAAGGGAGGAAGGGAGGAGGAAAGGTGCAAGGAAGGGTTGCTGGGTATATTACAGAGTCATGACGTCACACTAATCAGTTCCTTTAAAACTTTGACCTGTGTCAGGGTTAGCTTGTGTTGCTGCACAAGTTCATATTCTCCGACAAAGTATTTCTTCAGAAAATGATTTAGGATTTTGGCTCGCACTTAACCGAAATAGGATACAACCATACATACGTATATGCATGTTCAAGTGCGTGCATTTACATATGCGTACGTCTATGCGAATATGTAAACACGTATTTTCATATGACCTTTCATAAATTTGAAAACAGTGATAACTAGAAAAAGGAAAGTTTTAATCCAAGGAATCTGCATAAATATCAGTTAGTCTAACATATGTGTTTAATGCCATCCACAATACGATAAATGGGTTTGGTTGCTTGAGATCAATGTACTTTTATATCTATGTTCAATTTCATTATGATCTAGATGCAGGTATTAGACAAATGCAAGATATAAGTATATAACGATTTATTACAAAATATAAATATCTACAATCACAGATTTCTCATCTTCCTTTATCAACCGGAAAACCGATGGCTCCTTATTTACGATAACCACCTTTAGAAGGGGAGATGGTTATTGAAGAATGAGGGAGGCTTGCACACGTGTTCTCCCAAACACCTGTCGAAGCAACACTTATCGAGGCCAGCACACTTGTAGTCGTTGGAACAGGTTGTGGGGGGCCCATGGAAACGTGGGCATGTGGGACGGACTTGTGGGCAGTCGAGTGGCTTGGTGCCAACAGGTGTCTCTGGTTCGTGCACCGTCTCGCAGCAGTAGGCTTGACCCTCCGGAGTCTTGCACCAATACCTGCACTCGCTTGGGCCGTTGGAGATTCCAGCGCCGATGATACCACTACCACCATGGATTCCACCACCATGGATTCCGCCGCCGAGGAGACCGCCTCCGTGGACGCCACCGAAGCCTCCAGGAAGGAATCTGTTGGATCCTCATCCTTCGGTCTACACCGGCGGAGACGGCCACCAGGAGGCAGCACACAATCACGGCTTTGATGCTCTGTAAGAAGAGATAAGGGAATTAGTGACCGATTTTTAAATAGGACATTATCAATAACTTATGAATATCTGATTTTTTATAAGACGATGTTAATTGCGAAACAATGCAGTTGTTACTATTTATCGAAGAATAAACACTTACGTTCATTGTTGGTAAGAGGTGAGCTGTGTAATGTGACGAGTGGAAGTTGCTGCCTCGCTTATATACAGGATCTGGCTACCGCCCGCCCTCCCCCTCCCCCCGCTTAGTCAGTCGGGATATCCCGGTTAGCGGAATAAACTTCCAGGAACTATGAGTATATATTTTTTTCTTTTTTCTCTTTCTTTCTTTTTTCTTCTTTTTATTGTCCTCGATTCATTTCCCTTTTTTTATTTTCATTAACCAGAGACATGAAAATCACACATACCCACGGGTGACAAGCAGATACATATTCTTGAAGGTATATATAGGATTAATTGGTAGAAATCTATATGTTTATATCTGTCATACTCACATATACTTCCACATCTCTGTGACTTATCAAATACAGCATATTGCAACTGATTTTAATTCTCTTCGTGTTTCAAGGAAAGAAACCTCTTGGATTCTTGTCGACTTTCTCTCCTTCGGTCCTTACCAGCACAGAAGACCAAAAGGAGACAAAACACAACCATAGTGACGTAGCAGTATCATTTAAATAACGTGAATAGTAGTGTGAAAAGGTATGAATGAGAACGAAAATCTTCACAATACAAGAGATGTATTGGTCTCGATTATATCTTCGTCTGAAATACATATTTCTGACGAAGATCTAATCAAAACCGGTTAAGTACATCTCTCGTATTGTGGACATATTCGTTCTCATTCATAACTTTCCACATTAGTCAACATGAATACGGTTCGTGAATAGTAGTACTTGTTTAAGGCTATATTAAAATTGCTGGAGGGCATAAACCGGTAATATGGTATGTGTGAGTTGCAGTCTGACTATATAATACACTTACTTATGAAGCAATATTGCAAGCGTCGTACACTGCTCGGGTTTCAGGATATTTTCTTACCATGAATTCCTCTCAATCATTTTAATTTCTTATCACTAAGAAGTTTTATTATCATTATTCGTTTCCTTTATCAACTAATAAAAAATGTGGTTATGAAAGAAACAAATAAAGAACAGTACAGAGAAAAATGTCTGATTAGCTAAAAATAAATAAATAAATAAATAAATAATGAATAAATAAATAAATAAAATAAATGAATAAATGAAAATGAGAAATGCTCCTTCTCCGATAAGGAAAAGGACGTGTAAAAAAAGAAATAAAGAAATAAAAGATAAAACCAGGACTTATAAACTACAAGAAAGAAAAATGTAAGAATTGAAAAGACAACACTACGAGAAAAAATATATATATATTATATAAGTCCCCAGAAAAGAGAAAATTAAATGCTACTAAAGCCATCGTCATTATTATTATTATTAGAAACTTTTTTTAGTAATGGCATAATGTTATTAACTACATGCCATATCATTGTGGCTATTTATATCAATATTATCCTTGTCAACATTAACATTTTGAAATAATTTCATTAATTTCCTTTGTTGTTGTTGTATTTTCATTAGTTATCTGTTTGTTGGTGTTTTTTTTTTTCTTCTTCTTCTTCTGCTACACGAGTAATAATAATTGTTTTTGCAATGTCTTGTTATTTCCTTTCGTTTTGGTGTTGCTGCAGCCACTGTTATCAATATTTAATTCCCATGATTTACTTATTGATGATACCATTATCATCATCTCCATTATCAATACAATTAGCATGACCCATTACGTTAATATCATTAGTACCATTATCACTTATCAGCATTCATTCCATCTCTTTCTTGTTTATTACCTTGTTTTTTTTACCATTTTATTACCAGTTTATTATTTACTTTATTGCATAAATTTTCATTTCTTATCACTAAGCAGTTTTATTATCATTATTCGTTTCCTTTATCAACTAATAACAAAAAAGAAAATGTGGTTACTGACTGATATGAAAATGCAAATAAGGAACAGTACTGAGAAAAATGTCTGATTAGCCAAAAATAAATAATAAATAAATAATAATAAATAAATAAAGATAAATAAACGTTACAGTATCCATTTTTAATCGAGTCTTCATAGAAATGTGTCTGCAATAGCACATTTACAGGAGTGGATCGCATTTATCCACTCCTAAGAAAGCGAAGGAGGTGGATGGACGGAAAATAAGAACAAGAGAAACAAGAAGTGAAGAGAAAGGATGAAGACGGGGAAGAATAGGTTGTTGTCATCACAAAACAAAGACTATTGTTTATACACCCATCACTTACTGTTTTATTTAAGTAGATGATTTTAAACAAGCGAATCTAAAGCTCAAATAAAGTACATCTCACACATCCCCGTGTTTTTGTTGTGTATATCTCCAGTACCATCAACTGTTCTTCAGTTTGCCTTCTCTTTTCCTTCACATTCACATCTCTGCAGACATGGATAATTGCCTGTCCTTTCCTATTACGTATTTTCATCCTTTGCTCTCCTCTCTTCACTTGCCTCTTCTGCTTTCCCTTCGTCATTCAGCATCTTCATGTATCTTCCTGCACCATGAAGACCAAAGGGAAAGCGAGATCCTTAAGCAGGATAGCCACTCCTATGTTCAATATAGAGCAAGTCTAAAAAAATATCCTTTTAAGTGATTACGAATGAGAGAAGAAAAATATAAAAGGTATGCTATAAAATACAAATACTTCTGGGTGATGGGAGTTGAATAGCACAAGCATATTCAAACGAGAATGGAATAGTGTTGCTGGAAATAAATAACAAAACGGTACTTTGGACGCAAGACCATTTTCTTCCTGTGACGTCATCCATCACATGCTCAATGACGTCACTGTGTCCAGCTCACGTGTTCTATAGAGGAGGCGATTGAGCTGGATGATTTACAATGTATTTGCATCCCCTATGACGAAGTGATTAGTATTAAAATGATAACCAAGTGCAATGTTTAATGAAGGTTCACTTAGATGAAGCTCTCAATGATATACACTTTTTAAGCAGCGAATATTTGTTTCTTCCTTCCCTTGTCTTAAGGTGCTGTCACACTAGCACTTTTTCCGTCAAATATTTAACAATTTTATTTTACATAAATACAAACATTCTCTAATATAGCTCTTGATATGAGTATGCTTGGCTGAAAAAGTTGACAGAAAGGTTTTCAGACGGAAACGATCATCATCATCTGACTGGAAAATCGACAATTCGCTCAAAAAATGGACAAAATTTCCGAAATTTGTAAAAAAAAAAAAAAAAAACGACGGAAAAAGTGCTAGTGTGACAGTACCTTTAGTCCCTCGTTTTCTTATGCTTCCCCGTTTCGCTTCTTCGTTTGCCTTCCATCCGGCAAAAGGATATCAGCACGAACTCAGTTACCGTGAATTAGTTTACTCTACGTTTAATTGATACAAATTTATAGTAGCTGTATAAGTAAAAGGGCATGGAAGCTTAACATTCCATGTTGCTGGTCTAACTTTGCTTTCTCATATTAATATATAAATTAATATATAAATTAAGTTCACATTTCATTTCACAGTAGACGTTTTATTAAACTGTGAAACGTCCATTTTACTGAACCCAAATATAGTTCATGTTTCCCTTATATATCATGTTTGTTAGAATTAATTTTCTAAACGTTCGACTTAATTCTTAAACGGGGGTTCATGGATTAAATTACGTTTGTAGGCATTCAAAATTTATTATTGAAAATATATATTCATAAATAAAAGATTTCAAATAGGATTGTTTCTTTGGCTAAAATAATCATCTTTAAAAGAGATGGTTATTGAAGAATGAGGGAGGCTTGCACACGTGTTCTCCCAGACACCTGTCGAAGCAACACTTATCGAGGCCAGCACACTTGTAGTCGTTGGAACAGGTTGTGGGGGGCCCATGGAAACGTGGGCATGTGGGACGGACTTGTGGGCAGTCGAGTGGCTTGGTGCCAACAGGTGTCTCTGGTTCGTGCACCGTCTCGCAGCAGTAGGCTTGACCCTCCGGAGTCTTGCACCAATACCTGCACTCGCTTGGGCCGTTGGAGATTCCAGCGCCGATAATACCACTACCACCATGGACCACCATGGATTCCCCACCATGGATTCCGCCGCCGAGGAGACCGCCACCGAAGCCTCCAGGAAGGAATCTGCTTCGGTCTACACCGCGGAGACGGCCACCAGGAGGCAGCACACAATCACGGCCTTGATGCTCTGTAAGAAGAGATAAGGGAATTAGTGACTGATATCAAAATAGGACATAATCGACAAATTATGAATATCTGATTTTTTATAAGACGATGTTAATTGCGAAACAATGCAGTTGTTACTATTTATCGTAGAATAAACACTTACGTTCATTGTTGGTAAGAGGTGAGCTGTGTAATGTGACGAGTGGAAGTTGCAGCCTCGCTTATATACAGGATCTGGCTACCGCCCGCCTCCCCCCTCCCTCCGCTTCGTCAGTCGGGATATCCCGGTTAGCGGAATAAACTTCCAGGAACCATGAGTATGTTTTTTTTTTTTTTCCTCGATTCATTTCCCTTTTTAATTTCATTAACCAGAGACACGAAAATCACACATACCCAAGGGTGACAAGCAGATAATTCATAGTTACATAATAACGTGGAAGATGTCATCTGTCTGTCTGTTTACCTATCCATTTAAGCTCAAAATACATACATGTTCTTGAAGGTATATATAGGATTAATAGGTAGAAATTTATATATGTTTATATCTGTCATACTCACATATATTTCCACATCTCTGTGACTTATCAAATACAGCATATTGCAACTGATTTTAATTCTCTTCGTGTTTCAAGGAAAGAAACCTCTTGGATTCTTGTCGACTTTCTCTCCTTCGGTCCTTACCAGCACAGAAGACCAAAAGGAGACAAAACACAACCAAGAATTTGCTCATCCATCGTGTCCTGTAGTGACGTAGCAGTATTATTTAAATAACGTAAATAGTGTGGAAAGGTATGAATGAAACGAAAATCTTCACAATACAAGAGATGTATTGGTCTCGATTATATCTTCGTCAGAAATACACGTATTTCTGACGAAGATATAATCGAAACCGGTTAAATACATCTCTCGTATTGTGAACATATTCGTTCTCATTCATACCTTTCCACATTAGTCAACATGAATACGGTTCGTGAATAGTAGTACTTGCATAAGGCTATATTAAGGTTGCTGGAGGGCAGCTATAAACCGGTAATATGGTATGTGTGAGTTGCAGTCTGACTATATAATACACTTACTTATGAAGCAATATTGCAAGCGTCGTACCCTGCTTGGGTTTCAAGATATTTTCTTACCATGAATTCCTCTCAATCATTTTAATTTCTTATCACTAAGCAATTTTTATATCATTATTCGTTTGCTTTATCAACTAAAAAAATGTGGTTATGAAAGAAACAAAATAAAGAACAGTACAGAAAAATGTCTGATTAGCCAAAAAATAAATAAATATAATAAATTAATGAAAAATATGAATAATAGATAAATAAATAAAATAAAATAAATGATAAAGAAAGAGAAAAGGAAAAGGATATGCAAAAAAGAAAGAAAAAATAAATAAAAGGTAAAACCAGGATTTATAAACACTTAAAAAAAGGAAACTGATTACCTACAAGAAAGGAAACAAATGTAAGAATTGAAAAGACAACAATAAGAGGAAATAAAACCAATAAATGTCCCCAGAAAAGAGAAAAGGAAATGTTACTAAAGCCATAATGTTATTAACTACATGCCATATTATTGCAGTTATTTATATCATATTATACTTGTCAACATTAACATTTTAAAAAATTTCATGAATTTCCTTTGTTGTTGTTGTTGCATTTTCATTAGTTATCAATTTGTTGGTGTTTTTTTTTTTTTTTTTTTTTTTTTTTTTTCTGCTACATCAATAATAATAATTGTTTTTGCAATGTCTTGTTATTTGCTTTCGTTTTGGTGTTGCTGCTGCCACTGTTATCAATATTTAATTCACATGATTTACTTGTTGTTGATACTATTTTCATCATCTCCATTATCAATACAAGTATGACCCTTAACGTTAATATCATTAGGACCATTATCAGTTATCACATTCATTCCATCTCTTCCTTGTTTATTACCTTGTTTATTGCCATTTTATTATTTACTTCATTGCATAAAGGTGAGTTGACTGAGTAACATGAAATGACAGGTTATTCAATCAGGGAATTCCAGTGGCATAGTACCTGGAGAGGAGAGGGGGAGGAGGAGGGGGAGGCAGGGGAGGAGGGAGCAGGGGAGGAGGAGGGGGAGGCAGGGGAGGAGGAGGGGGGCGGGGGGGGGTGTTGCTCAGTTTTTTAGACGAGTTCCAGCGCGATGACGTCACAGTATCCAGTTCTTGTCTCGTCATCCGAAGAACATGCGTCTGTTTTGGGATATTTGGAAGAACGGATCGTCTTTATGTCCAAAGGAGGCGAAGGAGGTAGATGGACGGAAAAGACTGATAAAGGGAGGAAAAAGAGTAAAGGTCGATAGCAGGGAACAACAGGGTGTTTGCCATCTCGAAGGGAATACATCCTGTTTATACACTGTTTATACACTTATACACTTATATATAATACTTTATACACTATATATATATATATATATATATATATATATAATATATATATATATTATATTATATATATATAATATACACTTAGATATAATACACATAATATATATATATATAATAATATAATACATTATATATATAATACACTTTATATTAAGTTTATACACTTTATATATAATACTGTTTATACACCTATCATTATGATCATCAATTTCCGTTTGATTTAAGTAGGAATTCTGAAATGAAGCCATTAACTGAACGACAAATTAAATGTAAATAAGATATTTAGTTTGTTGAATACATTCGGGTGTGAGTGACCTTGCAGCGAATCTTGCAGCACAGTGCAATATCAAACACATCTTTGAGTTTTTAATTTTATTTTCAGATGTTCATTTCCAACATCTTCTGTATTATTTGTCTTGATTACCTTACGTTTCCCTACACATTTTTTTCAGTATATGATATTTGAACACTGTTATCTGTTATGCATTTTCATCCTTTACGTATCTCTCCACAAACCTCTCCTGCTTTCCCTTCCTCTCTTATTATCTTCATCGATCTTACAACACCATGAAGAGAAAAAAAATAATGATAATAAAAATAAATAGAAAAATAAATAAAGAATAAATAAATAAATAAAATAAATAATAAATAAATAAATAAATAAATAAATAAATAAATAAATAAATAAATAAATAAATAAATAAATAAATGAATAAGAAAATAGAAAATAAATGCCATAGATAAAATAATAAAAATAAAGAAATAAATCTTTA